AGATTAAGCCATAGTCATGCTTTCTTTTGAAATAAGCCTATTTGCTATGGTTTGGTGCATTTATTTTTAGATGTGTACTGTCTATACAACCAATTACGAACGGGAATTTTTTCGAAGCTTCCATTTTTGCATTATTACCAAGTGCGTATTTTAAATTAGTGTCCAATTGATATAAGCTAAACACTAGTTTTTTTAATTATTCTCCACACAGAAGCTCTTGGTATGCCAAAACAAATACCAAATTTGCAAAAAGTATTCATATTTGCCATATACCACAAAAATATATAAAATTACTTCATTGCTCCAAATGTGATGATCCAAATGTGATCATCACGGTTATTTTGCATTTGCTGATTGGAATTTATTAACAAATCTATTAAAATATGAAACATAATTAATATATAGCAATTGTATTTTTTATGCGCAAATATCAATCAAATAACCTTTAACGTAAAAATTATTGATCGTTTCCACAAAACTTCCACTATATCTATGCTGATACACTTCATCCCTTGAGCTTAATACCATACACTTGAACTAGTAAAAAGGGAATGGAAGAGTCAGTTTCGCTCGATGATTCTAATAACATATGCAATTTTCATTTATTAACTATAGAATTAAATTTAAGTTTTTAAGTGAATACTTCAGACATTTCAACAGATTTTATTTATTTTCTATTTTTTAGATTTTTTGTATTCAAAATTTTCTCACTTTTTTTTTTAGCGCCAAAATTATTCACACAAATCAAAAAATTTTGTACACAAACCCAACTGTCATATTTCATGCGTTGCCAATTATTTTCAAACGTGATCCGTATCGTTTCAGCAAAGATGATTCAGATCATTGAGCGGATCATGTTTGCTGAAACACAGCTATTTATTATGTTGGGAGATTAAGCACAGGAATCTAGAGCGCAATTAGAGATTAAGCACTGGAACCCAGAGAGTATCCTTGTGTCCCTTTCTTAGTAATACAAAGAACTACCTGCCTTACAGTTATGGGCTAAGTAGCGCTAAAAAGAAAGAATATATGTATTTAACAAATTTTTAAGATTTTTTTTTTTATGGTTTTTATAATATTTTAAACAAACCAAAGGGTTCAAATGTGCTATTATTTCATTGGTGTAGTGTAATTAATCATTATCCTTTAAATGCAAAATAAAAGATATAATTAATAATTTTTATTTATTCATTCATTTATTATGCATTATCTTACTGTTCAGTTACAATTTCGTTACATTATTTGATATTTTACACATCGATTTATATATATATAGTATATAGTTCGTTTTATTTTAATATGAGTTGTTTTTTATATCAAATTTTTGAATGGAATTTTTACATTTTTAACTACATTTAATTAGCACAAACTGCACACAGAAGAACTTTATCGGTTTAAGAAGGATATGCATATATATAAATCTTATTATATGCTTAATTCTTCAATTTTTTCGTCCTTAAATATCTTTAAATATTACATTCATATACCTTAAGTACAGCAGCTCCTAAATAAATACACCTATTTAATACTTATACATACTAGTAAATAAGTTATAACATACATAGCCTTAACCCTAGAATATGCAACACACATTTGAAATGTTAGTCTCACAAATGTACAAACACGTAAAAATAATTAAAATTTCATTTACAAATTATTTAATATATTAATTATTTATATATAAGTTATATTACATTTTCAAAAATTTTCATTTATTATATTTTTATTTTTCTTTTTTAATTTTATTACTTCACTTTGTTAATTAATAACAACAGTTTTAATTTGTTAATTATTGTTTTACCGTTTACACATAATTAAATATAAATATTTATTTATTTACTATTTATTAGTATTTTGTTTATACCATTTTTTTTTTTTGCATACATGGTTTTTATTTTTTTACAACTATACACATACATATATATTATTATAACTATTTAATTTATTTATTTTTTTTTTTTGTTTTCTATTTACATTATTAATATTGAAGTTTTATTTTACTTGGTAGTTACAACAACAATTATAATAATTTTTTATTAAAATGCTAGGGAGAAATTCGATTTCATTTCACTAAAAAAAATAATACTTTTGGTTTTAATTTCACTAGAGTTATTTTTTGAATTGAATTTAATTTAATTTTATATTTTTTATAAATACTTTTAATCGTTTGCCTCACAAATTGCATTTTTTCCTTTAATTTTTATTATATTATAGTTATTTTTTTTTTGCAATTTTTTTAATCAAATTAAAATTTGTGTAATTCATAAATTAAATTGGAATTTTCGAGTAGGTTCCTGAACGATTATGACATTTTCTAAATGTCCTGCATATTTTAAATGCAAGCATTTTTTCCTTTCGATTTTGCTTTTCAATTAACAAATATTTCATTCGATTATTCGAGAGGCGTATCACACCTCTGTGTAAAGGAGGGGGGAGATATGCTAATGCTATATGTTTTACATTTGATATGAAATTTGAATTTAAAAGGATTCAATTTAAAAGTGTGATTCCTGCAGCTTTTTTCTATGCGGATATTTATGGGAATAAGGTTCCTGTTTGAAATAAAATTGAGAATTAAAATATTGACAATAAAAATAAATAAAATATTAGAGCACAACAATAAAATTAGAAAAATAATGAAATATAAAATATTGTTTTTATATTTACGAGCAAGTAAATTGTAAATGCAGAAGAGTTTGAAAAAAATACAATAAAATGTCAACACGAAAAATAAACAACAAATACTAAAGATCATGCAAATTTTATGAATAAAAATTTTTAATTAAAAGTGTAAATGCTGTGTAATTGTGTAATGGTAGTGGATTTGATATGGCACAATGGAATTCTTTTGTGTAATGATATATTTGTGGGATTATAGGTATGGCGTGCAAAATGCATGAAAGTCTTTAAAATAGTTTTAAGATTAATTTTACATTGAGAAAATAAAAATTGTCAGTAAATAAATTGTATATATAATAAATAATGAAGCCTCTTTTTTCAAATTATATAATACAAACTGTTTAAAAATAAAATAATAAAAGCATATGTAATGAAACGAGAAATAAACTTATGTCTTTATATAACATTCCAATTTCCTCTGCAAAAATGGTGGAAATGTACATAGAAGCTCTAATGGTTGGTGACTTAACAGCAGCGGTTCGTTATAGAAATCAACATTAAATCATAAAAATGAAACAGAGCATAACTCTAATGATTAATAAATAAAGTACATAAAAGACTTAAGTAAGACCTTTGATAATTGTAAGTGTAAACGCGCTTAATTATTTAAGAAATAAAAACTCCATATCTGTTAATCTCTTAAAGGGTTTTTTCGCTATTAACTTATAGCCAAGTTGCTAAGATGTATGTAGTGACAATTTATATATATATGTAGTGACTTAGCTACTTAACTATAAGTCAATAGCTATAAAACCCTTTAAAAGATAAACAGATATGTAGACTTAATTTTTAAAATAATTAAGCGTGTTTACACTTACAATTGTCAAAGGACTTACTTAATTATTAAAAGATTAACAGATATGTAGATTTAGTTTTTAAAATAATTAATCATGTTTACACTTAAAATTATCAAAACTTATAACCATATTTTTGTGAAGCTTTATAAGGATTCAATATGTAAATGGCAATCCTCATTGCGCATTTGTTGAGTTAATTACGATAGCGTAAATGGACTATTTACTAGCATGCCTAATTAGATTTCACTAAAAATAATTAGATTATACTGATTATAAAGTTCTTTTTTCCTCACAAGCACCTAGCCCGATTTTGACAGTTATATGTTTGAAATTAAAATCAATTAATTTAAAAAAATATTAAAATAATTAAACAAATACACAAAAAAAACTACACATCTTTGAGTTTGTAATCGATTATAGCAAATTATGATAAAAAAATGTTACGAAATTTTTACCGATATATCAAACAAGTTATAGAATAGTGGGCTGTTTTATGGATTAAGTACCCCAACTTCCTCGATTGATGTGTTGTTTCTAATGTTTGGTAAATAAATCATTTACTTTTAATCCTGCAGTAAAATTGTCTTCAATCCCTTCTGTTAAATTATTTATTCATATATATGTCAAGACTTGATTGAGTTAAAAAAAATTATAATATTTGAATTCTAGAAAAACTGCAACTGCTGATATAATAAAAAGCACATTTTTATATAAAGAAAAATAAAGTAGAAAGAAAACTGTTTACTTTTTTAAAATTTTTATACCTGTGGGATATATTTATCAGGGTTCCATTGGGATAAATATGAGCATACATAAAAAATGTTGATAAACTCATTAGTAAGTCTTTACATTGCATTCTAAATATATTTCATTTTTACTTCTGAGTTATTTAAAAACACGTCTTGAAATGTTTTGTATTGATATATTCAAATTTAATGATATGCTGCGTAACATTCTCCATATTTATTGTAGATATATTCATTTTTTTAAAATTTTAACAAATAGTTTTGAAGCAGATTTTTGTTTCATATCGTCCTGTTGCAACTACTTCAATACTTAATAAGTTCGTCACTTTTAAATTTTTTTGTAAATTAAATGAGTTAATTTGTTTTTTTTTTTATTAGTTTTACACATATTTAAGCTGTTAAACGAATATATTACACATTTTATGCATGGATTGGCTATGTAAAATGCATTTATTACATGAAACTGTTAACTACAGAAACATGACAATGTTATTTACAGAAGCATTTTACTTGTAGTTATTTTCTTTTTTTTTACTCTTTTAAGTAGTCTACCATATTAACATTTAAATATACATACATTTAATTTTTATAGCTAATAAATATATATATTTTTTTAATAAATTTAAATAATTTTTTTCTTTAATATATATATAATCAATTATATCTAGAACAAGTCTTTCAAAACAATGATTTTTTTAATGAAATTTCGTATATCAGAATTATTATTATTCATTTAAACAAATTTTTTTATTTGTTATATAGTAACTCTTTTATGCAGTACAAACTAAACTACAAACTAAAAATCAATTATATATTAAAATATTTTTTTTTTCAATTTATATACAACTTTCCTGTATTCGATTCGATGTGGTTACCACTTCCGGTCGAAATCTGTATTCGCTTAGCGATGAAGTTACTGATGGATTATTCGGACTGAGCAAGCTAACTTCCATTGGCTGTGGTGTAGGATGATATGATGATAAGGATGATGTAGTTGTATTATAGGGTGAAATGCCCAAAGGTGGACTACAAGTGGTTATGCCCTTCTTATTTAAGGTGGCATAACTCTGTAAATAGAGTAAAGCAGAGAATAGCAAAAAGCTTCGGTTAGTATGAGAAAATGTATTTGATGAGACAAAAAATTTGTTTTTATGATTTTATAACTGCGATAAGCATTATTATTATCAACAAATTCTATGTGTGTGTAGTACTTATATAAAGTAAGTGTTATTGGTATGAAAGCAATTACTACCGCACCCTGCAGTAAATGGCATTGACCGCTTATGTACCAAAGTAAAACTGCACATTGCTGTACTTTTGTTCATTTATCACCAAAAAAATTAAAAAAAGCATATTGTGTTGTGTTTTTGTTTATAGACTAATACTTGAACGGTTGTATATTCGTCATTGTCCTATTTGTGTACTTAATTTTTCATCTTTATTTTGTGGTGCTGTGGTTACTTGCAGAGCCAGAAAGCCTTTCACATTTCATATAAATTCCCTTAGGCACTCTCAGCCGCATTTATTATGAATGTGCAATGCAAGTTGAACAATGGCTTTGTTTCTATGCATTTACTTATACTTGCGAGCATACAAAGTGCAATGTGCAACTGCACTTTTTTTAATTTCTTTGGTTTTTACATTTAATTTTTCTGTTCCCTTTTTTTTTTTTTTTTTTTTTTTGAAAAATTCATTTTGTCACTACTAGTCGAGAAGGTCTTTTCCGTTTATTGTCATACTTACGATTTGTTTACTTGGCCTAAATGTGTAGTGCAGCACCTCATTTCCCATGCCGATGCCGATGCCACTGCTTGCACCTCCAGTGCTGCTCACAATGGAACCCAAACTAGAGACACCATCTGTGCTGCTCAGTGTGGAGCTGTTTGTAATGCCAATAACACTACCGCTGCCGAGTGTACCGCAACGTTCAGCATCGGCTGTGCAGTATTCACGTTGCAACAATCTTGCAGATGGACTACGGAATATTGGGGAAGCTACTAATGACTTCAATGGACGTTTTTCTACAAAAAAAAAAAATTTATTAATTAATTTGTTAAATTTATTATTTTAAGCTAGTTTGGTCTCATATGACCATTTAACAGTGTTCAAGTGTTCAACTGCTAGAGTATTGTTTATAATAATAAATTGATTAATTTTAAAATTACAGATGTACATATACATCTCAGTTGATTTGGAAGGTCCCACTGACGCAAAAGTATCTTCTTATGAACCAATATATGAGACAAGTAATTGAGCTAGGAATTGCCATTACTCGTTGTTAGCTATTGTGTTTATGGAAAATAGTCATAAGATACTATGATAACTGAAAATAATTATATAGATGCATAAATCTTATTACATAGATTACATAGATCTTATTTGGATATAGCATATACTATTTAAAACAAAGATTTATATATTTGTATATATAATATGGTAAAGAAGACTAAAAAAAAGTGCAACTCTTTTTAAAGATTAATAAAATAAGTAAAAGTTGATTATTTTTGTATAACATTTTAACAGTTTAATTTAAATTTCCCCCTCTTATTATAAAATAATTATGAATATTTTTTATCAATACTTGCTCGTAACAAAATGATTTAGTAGATGCAATCAAAACTATTTTCATAAACCACTGCGTTCATAAATTTCTATGACGTTTATTTTTCTCTTTTAATATCCGAAATCACTGTGGAAAAGTGAAAAACTCGATACCTAAAATACCTAAAATGAATGGAAAATTTTAATATTTTTGCAAAATTCTGTCCCTGTCCCTTTATGACCAAATAAAGTAAATTTTATGACTGCTTCGAAACTTAATGCTACAAAATATAGACAAAGGCAAAATATTTATTGTGAAAAAATTGTAAATTTGTATTGATCAGATAGAAATGATTGCCATAATTGTACGATGGTTGAGTGGTCACCTGCATAATAAACAAAACCAGAAATAGCCACAAAGGATTTTGATGTAAAAAATTATTTTTAAATTAAATGAGCAATTTACGGTCATTAAATTGTAACACTCAACTGTTAGGTTTTTATGTGGTTGCAAAATATTAATTGTTGGTAATCAAAATCACTCATAAAAATAAATTAAAAATGACATGACATTAGTTATGTCACGTTGGCTATTATGTATTGTATAACAGGTGGGAACAGGAGTGAGGAACTTATAACGTTGACAATTTTTTATATTGGTTAAACTACACATATTCCTACACTAAATGCATATGCCAACGGACGTTACTAGCATTTAAGGGTGATAGCCAATAACCATGTGATCTTTTTATGTACTGGTATTAAGAGCTTTATAAATTCTTGATCCTATAAGTAAGAAGAGTCTATTTCGAATCTACGGCAACTAGAAATTGTTCGCAACCTACCTTGAAGCAGATATATACACACAAATAAAAATCGGTATACTCCAATGGAGGGTTATACTTGTAAGGATAAAGAGGAGTCCGCTTAAAAAGTTTTTGTGACCGATTAAGTGGCATCAAGGACGACAATTTCAAGAAACATTTACTAGCACACTTCAGAAAGAATCAGAGATTCCGAAGACGTTGCAACTACGAATGGTATGTAATCTACCTTGGAACATATGTGTATAGTCACAAGAATAAAATTTGGTGGACTATAGTGGGTAATATTTTATATGAGTTAAGAGGACTCTAATAAAAATGCCTTTGTGACCAATTTTATGTTGAATCACGCCTGTTGAATCATACTTTTAAAGCTTATACGCTCCTAACTAAATGACATTCACTTACAATGGTAACCTATCGATAGACACGTGGAATATGGATATATTTTATATAATTGTCCATTTTTTTTCATATGTTTTATTTTTTATATAGAAATATAGAAACATATTAAGTAACTATTGCATTATGTCAACTTAATAATTCAATTTTCTTATATATACGTAATGTCGTCATATAAGTTACATATAGACTATAGCAATTTCTTTTTTCCGTAAACCACAAGTCATATCATTCCACAAAACATATGAATTATTATACTAAAATTTATTCAATAAATGTAACATTATTAAATTCATCTTCACTTTATCTTCATACTAGCGAGCTACTCATAATCCATTTATTGAATCATATAAGGAAGAAAGATGTAGTGAAAACTTAATGCATGCATTAGGAAAACAATTTATTGGTGACGTGAGAGATAACTATCCTAACATATCTATTCTAATATGAAATAACTATAAGTTTTTGATTATTACTGGGCTTAGGTCGACCTTAGCCCTTAGGATAGAGTTGGTCTTTATAACAATTTATTAAAGAAGTATATTTTTTTAGTGGAATATTATACTATTTTTCCCTCCTTTTGCGCGATTATAAATTTTAAATTAATATACTTATTATTACATAGAACCAGTCTATCATTCAGAATTATTATATTTTTGTTCCTAAAAATATGCAATTTATATTATTGTTTTTATTCTACTTTAGATTGATTCATGTTTACTCCCATATACTGTATATAAATATTATTAGCGGAGGAGGAAACTTTTCATATGGGAAGTGAATCAAACACAGGCTGAGTTTGCAGAGGAATATATGAAATAAAAATGTTTAAAACTTCATAGGTACTTCAAGTGATTGCGAATACTTTGTTAAGCAAAAAACTAAATTTGTTCTGAAATAACTTACCATATTGGTTAGGTATCACGTCTGGATCAGTGTCATCAACTTCCGGTGGATCACCCATTATCTGTGGGCTTTGTCGATGATGATTCTGTGCATTTGAGCGTAGTGTAGCAGAGTCCATACCAACAACTAAGCTGCCATTCGCACCAGCAGGCGATGTGCCACCGCCACTACCATTCGACTGCAGCAAGCTGTGATGCGATTGATGGTTGCTTTGCTCGTGATGATGATTTGGCTGTAATGGATCTAACTGACAGTCGGCGGGTATTGATAATTTGGTATGTTTCGTAGGTTTAATGTTTGTATCATTTCGTCTGTAAATAGGCAAAAATAAAAACAGAAACAATAACAATAATTGACAACGAAAACAACAACTGAGTATATTGAAAGTATCCGTATAATAAAATTTAATATTAACATATTGATTGAAATTGATATGCTTATATTTTGACATCTGTTGGCATATCGGTTTTCATTTTTATCCGATGCTTAAGCACGGCTCAACTTCTTTTACGCAGAAAAGTCAATAAACGTGCATTTATCTTTCGTATATTGGCAATTACATAAATTAGCTGTGTGGGTGTTATTGAGAAAAATATGTTGACAGCATATTTTGTTGTTAGAACACTGCAACAAATTAAATGAATTTTTTTTTTGTAACAATTTTCTCATTTAGCCCAAATTTTCTGAATCGTCTGACATATCTGACGTGCCATGTACGTTGTTATTTTTGTGGGTACGTTTTTATAAAAGACCACAACAGCGCACATTCGTATATCTCTTCATTGAATGTTTTTGCCAAACTTGCTGTTATAGTAATTTTAGCTGCTTCTGGTAAAACTTTTTGCCACAATATTGGTCAGAAATTAACTTCACTTAACAACAACATTAAAAACCTACAACAGCAGCAACGCCAAAGTCCTGCCCACTAATAGCCGTAAAGTAAACAGTTTCAGTTTGTGTATTTTTACTCTTAAATGTGCGAGTTTCATCAAATTGAATAAAATAGTCAAAATTTGTTTGACCGCAGTATTTTTCCATTTACCACAAGTAACAATCCATCCCCACCCTAGAAATGTTGCCTTGTGTCAAGGGACACTGTGTAAGCGATACCACAGCAACTCGTGCCCTCCAATAAGTTGAATGCTACTACGAACGCAGCGGAGTAAGTCATTACGTGTCGAAAGTTGATACTTTTGCTTTTGGCTAATCTGGGAAGAGTCCGACGGTTACTGTAATGGCCAGTTAGTCAACCCCTTTGGGCAGAATTTGTTTGAATGCTAGGAATTTGGTTATTTCGGCAATCTTGGTATTTAGTTTATTTGCGTCTTATTGGCATTCTTCTTTGGTTTGTTATTGTTTCTTTAGAGGGAAGGTGAATTGACATATTACGTTTCTATTTCTGTTAGACAGAGGAGTACAGTTTTATTTATTTATACATTTATTTACCTATTTGAAAATCGTCGGTAGACTGCCGCAAGTATAATACAAGATATGGCGAAGAGTAGTGCACAAAAGAGTGTGAGTCCAGCTAAAAATGGTGAAAGCGGTACAGTTAGTCCACTCGAGTTACCTGTAAATAAAATAAAAAAATCTTTTATATCGAGTTGATATTAGTACATTTTAAGTAATATTAAGCAAGTAAAAAGTTTTATATAAAATGTAGCTAAAAGAAGCATACGTTACTATAATACATTGTTTATTAAGTCAATCTTCTTGCGAAAGAAACTTGCCATAAAAGAATGGTAAGTAAATATATAGCCTAGAAGTATTGGATTAAAAGAAGTGACCCTTAAGTATAAGAATATCATAGTGATTTGACTTTTTTTAGAACAATAAGTGGCAATGATATGATTAGGTGTAGAAAGACATTTACTAGTTCCACAAAGCAACCAATAATAGAACAATTTAGTCTCATCTATGTATAATATATGGTACCAAGACTTAAAAACTCTTTGCAGTAGCAGCTATAACTAATCGTTTTTATTAAAGTATCATTTTGTCTTAATTATGTTTATAAGTCCTTTCTTTTTGATATTCTCTTTCCTTACTCTGTTCTTTAAGAGCTCCCTGAATTTTGTTTTCAGTCTCTTTGTCAAGAAGGAAAAGAGTGAATTTCAGTAAAATCGCTGAATATTTTTTTCCATTCAAGAAAACTCAACTTGTTAATCCCTCTCACCTCACTTAGGTAAATCACTGAACGTCACTGCAGCATGCTCTCTACAATGTCTTGAAACGTTATTAACGATTTTGCAAAATTTCAGTTACTAAAGTATTTTAATAATCAAAATAATTGGTGCAGGACGAAATCAATTTTGTAATCAATATTTGTGATGGCAGTTCTGTTCACCTAATTGCTGCTCTATCTATTTCGTTGATCCATTCTCCACATACCTAATACTCAAAATTAAATGTAGTGAACTATCTATGGTTGCAATTTTTATGTGATTCTTTGAGTTTGAAATGAATTTATTCCTTTCCGAACTGGGTTAGTCAATTCTTTTCTTTTCATCTGAATTAATAAATGAATATTTAATACTTGGTGAAATTATTCAAAATTTGATAAAGATGCTTTGTAGTTCTTTACATTCTTCACAAGCATTTTCCATATATATTAAGCTCCCACAGTTACTATATTTTGTCAAGTTTTTTAAATCTTCCCTACAATGATTCAGAATAGATTAAATTTGCATTTTTAAGTCAACCTTTTAACCTCCTCAAAATACTTTCCTAATCAAAGACCATTAAAATGCAAACTTTGTGAAAGTTTTAACAACGAAAATGCAAAAAGAAATCTGCGAAAATGCCTAAGCAGTTGGGAGAAAAAGTTGTCAATAAACTTAGAATTTAAGACCTTTTTAAATATTTCGAAAATAAAGCAGATAACCTATATTTTATGCAAAACTTTTAACGAATCTATTTACTTTTTGTACAGTACAAAACAAAGCCGTTCGCAAAAACTGTGTAAGATAAAAATGAAATTGCAGCAGAGACAGAAAAAGGACATAAGCAGCTTATGAATTAAACATGGCGTATTTTCGGTCTACGTGCATTGTCAGGACGTAGCTGCAATTGAGCAATAAAGTCCTTTTGCACCAATGCCAAAAACAAGTATAAATACGAGTATAAATTCATGAGCAAAAAGATAGCGACCAAAAAAGAAAAAAAATGAAAAAAAAAATATTATATAAAAAAAAATAAAATAAAAGGATAATAAAAGGAATAAAAACTGGTAAGAAAACAAAGAAAGGCGTAGAATTGCATTTATGGCAAAACAATGCCAAGTCAAAAATAAACACAAACACGAAATTGTAGGGAAAACTGGAAGACAAAAAATAAATACGAAAAATTCACAAAAAGTGTAGAAGTTTTGCATTTTGTTTTGTTATCGACATGAAAATACAAAAAAAAAAACTCAAAAAAAATCAAAACAAAAAAATTAAAACACCAAAAAAAAAAAAATTGAAATCAAAAAGAAAAAATTTAAATAAATTCTTTTGTTTTCTGCTGTAAAAGCCAAAATTTTAAAGAAAAAAAATTAAATAAAAAAATATGGGTAAACAAAAAATGCACAAATATTTATACAAATGCAATGGCTGTTTCGAAGTCAAAGTGCAGAAGGATACACCAAACTACACACAAATACACATAAAGAGAGACACAAAAGTGTACCAATGAAGTGAAAAAATTACACAAAATGGGGTGAAAAAATTGGAAATAAGTTGTCCAAAAAGTATCATGAAATAAATTGAAACTGAAGTGGAAAAGTTGTTAAAGGTGCGCACACAGATACACACAGATAAAACAAAATCAGAGATACAAAGACAAACTAATGCTGCTTAAGGATGCAACTTAAGTTAGTTCAAGTAAGGAAAACAACAGCAACAACAAACACAATAATAACAACAACGCAACAGAATAAAAAAAAAAAAACTGTGACTGAACGTGCTTAAGCGCCAGCTAACGGATTTTAAATTGCAACAAATTTTCTTCTTCTTTGCAGATAAAGTGCATTTGCCAAGAGTATAAATTCGAAAATGAGTATGAAGTTATTGAGGAGCGTTTCATGCATAGATGAAGATAGCTGAACGATATATAAACACAAAATTATTTGTAGAACAAGTGACAATAAAAAAAGTAGATCGAAGTGGTGTAGTGGTGGAAATTTAAAATTTTCCAATAACCCGACAATACGCAGAAAATTGCATGCAAATGCAAAAATTTACTACGCTAAGCAATCCTTAATACAAACGCTTAATACTGCCACACTGAACACACCCCATTCATAACTAAATTCAAGCGAACTGTTAAAATGTAGTGTGGAGTAGTGTATGTCACACACATACTACAATACAAAACTATCAATAAAAATTGCATTATGCAAATCTGTGTATCGAATTTTTTTCTATTCTTTTCTTCTCTTTTCTTTTGTTTGGAATTTGTTGTTGTTTTACGTTTTGTACCTTCGCCCGTTTAAAATTTCATTCAGTATTTGTCAGCTATTCCTTCCCACACATATGCATATAGCATTCAGGGTATCTTTATGCGGATATATGTGTGTGTGCATGTTTGATGGTTTTCACTTTCAGTTCAGTTTGCTATGTCACCATTTGTCGCATAATGCAATGTGGCAAATGCAGCGCAAATGTTAAAAATGTTTTCAAAAATCAAACAAAAAACAATAAATACAAAGTATTGCAAAATCGTTACAAAATAAATCCAAAGAAAAATAATGAAACATTTATCGAAAAGTGCAAATGTTTTGAATCCTTTTTATTTTAAATTGTCAGCTGATTTCTCTTGCTGCTGTCAAAGCAATGCAACACTAAGTTGATTTGGTGTGAACAGCGATATTTCATAATATCGCTGTATAATGCTCATTTTAGTGCATAGCTGCCCAATGATAGGTTCACTACTTGACACGCATTGTAATCTTATTTGTGGATTGTTAGCAATTCATTTAAATAAAAGATAGAAAAATAGCAAATCATATATGTGTAGCTATAAAGGAATTTATTAAAAGAGATTATATCCTTTTTAGTTGTAATAAGAAATTTATACGCGAGTTAACTGATATGTTGGGGGTGTAGTCTTAGATCGCCTCCTCGTGGTGCACCCTGGGTAACGCCAAATGATCTATTCCCCCCCTGGATGCTGTCCTCTTCAGGGGCTCCAGCATCCTCTGGTAACGACCGTTTTTGTCCTCGGACCACGCTTCTTCAGATCCTCTTTTTGTATTTGATCGCTTTGGGCTGGTGGTTACAGGTTTCTGGACCTAGCTGTCTTCTGACACGGTAGCACCGGGGTGAAACTCGCGTGTGAACGGCTCCAGGCTAAGTCTGTGGCTGCCTCCGTCCCGTTAAAACCCTGGCAGGCCTCAAGGTACGTTCTGCATCCGTCACCATTAAGTTGGTCGTGTAGGTTCGGTTGTAGCTTAGCTCCCGATTAGTTCTGGTCTGGCTCTGAGCACTTGCTCCCATAAGGACCTGTGCCAACCCTCGCATGGCCTCCCTGCATTTGCATAGATAACCATGGGACTTCTTTTTATCAGGAACTACACTTACGGGTGTCAGATAGCGGCTTTGAGTGGGGACCCTTTTAGAATGAACAAAGCAAACAAAAATTCCAATAAACCTTTTAAAACTCCTAACCCTTTAGGGGGGCGTTCAAGCCTTATAAGGCAAGCGCCTATTAACAACCAACCGTCTAGAGCTTCTGCTCAGGCGGTTCGTACAAGCAATGCTCCATCATTGAACACCTTGGCAACTGTGCCAGGTGGTAATGCTGCCTCCTGCTCTTCTGCTAGTGCTGCGGTCAAAGCTAATGCGCCAACCGCACCATCTGCAATTAGTGCCAACTCAACTTCTGGCACACGCTCCCACCCTAACCCCTCGACAAGGGCGTATAGGGCGCGAAGGTCAGCATATCGCATCCTCTCTAGGCTCAATGCCGCGGATCCTTCCTCGCTCTCAGAGAGCGATAAGGCATCATTAAAGTGGGCAAGGGAAAATGTCAATCTTCGGCCCTCCGACATCGCTTCTACCTCTGCACCTGCTCAGAAACGACAAAGGTCGATTGAACAGGCTGGGAAACCAATTTCAACTAGCGCTCCTAAGCGCCCCAAATTTGGTCCTCCGAGACCCCCATCGCTGTCTAAACCTCTCAGCGAAATAGTTAAAGAGAGCCTGACCTGGGCCATCATCGACGCTGGCAACAGTGATGGCACCATCTCTCCAGCAAACTGGAAGAAAGTCGAACGGGCTCTTCTTAAAATATATATGGAAATCATTGCCCTCAACCCTGGGCCATCTCCCAGCTGTAAAGACGCTGGATGGTACCAGGGTCATATTAAAATTATTGCCTGCTCAGATCAGCGCTCCGCGGATCTTTACAAGCAGGCGATCGAGAAGGTTGGGGAACTCTGGCCCGGCGCACAGCTCAGAGCTGTTTCGGTGGAAAATATCCCACAACGCCCCCGCTCCAAAGTGTGGCTTCCTTCGGAGCTTACTTCCCCTGAGGAAATTCTTTCCCTTTTAAGGGCCAGTAACACTGACCTCCCCACGCATAACTGGAAAGTTGCGAAGGTCAGTGACCCCAAGGGCGACTTTGTCGAAGCCGTCGTAGTCCTCAACGAAGAATCTTTAGCACCCCTTCAAGCCCGAAATGGGGTGATTCATTATGGCTTCGGTTCGGTCACTCTACGTGTTTACAAAAGTGACTCTCAAGCCGCTAAGCAACAACCTTCTGGGGGGGCACCTTCGGAAACGATCTCCGATGACGGAATCGGTTCCATCCCAGTTCCAATCAACCCCGATGTAGGAACTTCCGATTTAATCGGCACTCCTTCCTCCGAAGACGGAGGTAGCGTAATCTCGTCTTCCGAACTGGTCGGCGAGTTCTTTACAGGTATGGCGCTTTCCCGGGAGACCTCACCGATGTCGGATGAGGATGAACTGGACAGTACCATAGTTGAAAAACAACTAAGCTGTTGAAGGTCGTCCAAATTAACCTCCAACACTCCAAAACTGCTTCGGCAGCCCTTACCCTCCGCCTAGCTGAAAAAGGAGAGGACATAATGCTGATCCAAGAACCTTGGATTGTAAACAATCGGGTTTGTGGACTGAATACAAACGGCTATCGGTTAGTATTCACAGAAGGTCAAGGTAAACCAAGATCTTGCATTCTAGTAAAAAATAACATTAATGCCTTTTTACTCCCTAGGTTCAGTGACAATGACAATGTAGCCATGGCCATCGAATACGACTCCAAGGCCCTTTGGATTGTCTCAGCATATATGGCACACGATCACGGTGCCACTCCGCCACAGGACTCCCTCAAGCTTCTGGTGTCAGAGGCAAATAACAGGAGGATCCCGGTGATCATAGGAGCTGACGCCAACGCACATCATGAGATGTGGGGTAGCACAGATACAAACGCGAGAGGTGAGTGTCTATTTGATTTCATTCTTGCAGGAAACTTGGTGATCGCTAACATAGGTAGGGAGCCAACCTTCATGAACTCAATTAGAAGGAAAGTTCTTGATATCACCATGATTAGCGAGCACTTCTCTTATTTTATTACTAAGTGGTCCGTATCGCAAGATTGCTCCTTTTCTGACCATAGGTACATTAATTTTGATCTAAATTTTGTGGAGAACCCTGAAATGAACAGATCATCTAAACCAATAAATAGGAAACGTACTGTATGGCCCATTTTTCGAGCCAACCTGGAATCCAACTTACAGTTGGACCCTCCCACTATTCTCAACTGTTCCGACATAGATCGAGCGGTTGACCTTCTCACATCAGCATTTAGATGCGCCACAAATGCGGCCTGCAAGCCACCCGAATTTAGAGGCAAACCCAAACCTCCATGGTGGAACTTGAATATTGCAGACCTCCGAAAAACCTGTAGAAAACTTTTTAACGATGCTAAATCAACAGGTAACTGGACTCCATATAAAGTGAAACAAAGAGAATTTAAATACGCCATTAGGCGGGCGAAAAGGGCAGCTTGGAAAAATTTCTGTGGCAACATAGAATCATCTTCCGAGTCAAGCCGACTGCGCAAAATCCTCAATTCCACCCATAAGACACTCGATTGTATCCAGGCTCCAAATGGTCAATGGACCAACTCCAGTAAGGAAACTCTCGACACCCTTCTGGACTCGCACTTCCCAGGGAGTATAGCCTCTGATGCTGACTTATCAACTCAAATCAGCTTACCCCCTCTAAATAATCCTAATCCGTTTCAAGTGACCAACACTCAAATAAAGTGGGCTATCCAAACTTTTAAACCGTATAAATCTCCAGGTCCGGACGGAATTATTCCCGCAGATATTCAACAGGGTGAATTCGTAATCCTCCCCTGGCTTCTAAGCATTTACAACAGTTGTATTAAGCTTATGTATGTTCCAAGCTGCTGGAGAGTGGCTCGAGTAATATTCATTCCCAAAGCAGGAAAAATAACTCACTGCAGTGCCAAGGACTATAGACCAATCAGTCTGTCTTCTTTTCTTCTGAAAGTACTGGAGAGAGTTCTTGATCTGCATATCAGGAACAAGATAAACCCAGCGCTCTTATCTCCATCACAGCATGCTTATACTAAAGGCAAGTCTGTCGATACTGCGCTTCATGCACTCATCTCGCAAGTTGACCATTCCATCTCTCTCAGGGAATTCACACTTGCCACCTTTCTCGATATTGAGGGCGCTTTCAACAATGTCTGCCCCAATGGTATCATAAAATCCCTCTCAAAGTTAAATCTCGACAATAGTCTGGTTAAATTCGTAGAGGCCCTTCTCAAAACTAGGATTATCACATCCGACATCGGAAGTGCTCAATCCTCCAGAGCAGTCTGTCGGGGAACGCCACAAGGTGGAGTTCTCTCTCCTCTTCTATGGAACATAGCGGTTAATTCGTTGTTAAAACTTTTGGAACAATCCGGATGTAGTGTTATAGCTTATGCGGACGACATTGCTATTGCCTCATCTGGCAAATTCCCCCAAGTTCTATCCAATGTTATTAACTCTGCGCTCCTCATTGTAACTGAATGGTGTAGGGAATTCGGTCTGGATATTAACCCTGCAAAGACAGAGGTTACTCTCTTCACCAGGAAATATAAAATTCCGACATTTTCCTTACCAAAGATAAAGGGCGTTACTCTAAATTTAAGTTCGAACGTCAAATATCTGGGTATAATTTTGGACTCTAAACTCAGCTGGAAAGACAACTTGGCTGAGAGAGCCCGCAAAGCGGTATGCGCCACCTACTGTTGCAGAAGAGCTATAGGTCGTAGTTGGGGGCTCAAACCGTGCATTATACTCTGGCTCTATTCAGCTGTTATCGAACCAATTCTTCTGTATGGGGCTGCTTTCTGGTGGCAAGCAACTGAAAAAGCATGCCACACCAAATTAATTGACAAAACTAGGAGGATAGCCGCACTACAAATCACTGGTGCTCTTCGCTCTACCCCCACGCAAGCTCTTTTCGCTATGCTTCATTGGTTGCCATCTCGGCTTCTGGTAAAACAGCAAGCCAAAATAGTTGCAACTAGGCTCAACGCCCTCTCCTGCTGGTCAAGAACTGATATAGGCCACGCGATCATACTGAATCAGGATCTGCCAACTCCCGTCTCTATTGACTACATGTGTTGTTACCCAGACCTAATTAGGGGGTTCGAATCTCTTATACCTAGCAGGGAGGACTGGATCCTTGAAAGAGCGATCCCTCTCCAAACGGTTGACATTTACACGGACGGCTCCAAAATAGATAAACGAGTCGGCTGTGGCATTTTCTCTGAAAGACTGGGTCTCAGCATCTCGCTCCGACTTCCGAACCACTGTAGCGTCTTTCAAGCCGAAATAATGGCAATTCACCAAGCTGTAAAATGGGTTCTTTGCAATCGAACATCCGATTTACCAATCTCAATTTTTTCTGATAGCCAAGCTGCCATCAGATCACTGATGGGCACCTCAGCCACGTCAATCACAACTCAAGACTGCCGTGCTTCACTAAATGACCTAGCTAGGTTTGTTAGGGTCAAACTTATTTGGGTTCCTGGTCACAGGGATATCACAGGAAATTGTAGGGCAGACGATTTAGCCAAGGCAGGTGCGCTTCTCCCTAACATTAACCTCTCTGATATAGGCGTCCCTCTTGCTACAGTTAAACTGGCAATCATACAAAAATACCTGAGTATAGCCAAGCAATACTGGGCTGACGAACCTCAATGTCAGATTTCTAGGTTGACTTGGCCGAACTTTGACAAGAAAAGAACCCGTCAGCTACTTCAACTAAGACGGAACCTGCTCAGCACTACGGTATCTGTGCTTACGGGACACTGCGTAATAGGAAGGCATGCTATGAGACTGGGTCTCCCCTTTAATGACTTTTGTAGAGGCTGTGGCTCTGAGGATGAGGAGGAGACTGTACTCCATCTCATGTGTCAGTGCCCTTCCCTAGCCAGAAGAAGATTAAAAATCCTTGGATCTCCTTTTCTAACTGACCTGACTGAGTTGTCATCCTGTAATGTTAGGGACCTAGCCAAGTTCATAGAACTGTCAGGTTGGTTTTCCTTTGCATAATGGGGGAGTCGTTACCTTTCTTTTCGGCGTTAAATGTATACTGATTAAATCTATATACAAATAACGTTACTCCTGTGGTACCACAACGGGCCTTTATTTGTGCCTAAGTGGGCTTTTTGGGACACAAGGCCGCCACTCCAACCTATACCTATACCTATCAACGATTTTAAGGCCAAACATTCAATAAATACCATCGAACAGCCACCGTATTCACCTGATCTTGCACCGTGTGACTTTTTCCTGTTTCCCAAACTCAAATTACCACTCAGAGGAACGCGTTTTGAATCCATAGAAGACGTAAAACAGAATTCGCAGAGGGAACTCAAAGCCATACCGGAAAGCGCCTATAAAAAATGTTTTGATGATTGGAAGAAACGTTGGCATTTATGTATCGCTTCTAATGGAGCATATTTTGAAGGAGAAAATAAATATTGATGAAGATTAAGAATTTTGCGTTTTATTTATTTATGACCGGAAACTTTTCGGTCACAATGTATATTCTATTACAAGCATGTTTATTTCATGTATGCTTACAGTTTTACTAGCAAAAGCTATTGGTTTATCCTTTCCTATTTCTCCTTGTGACAATACAATTCCTAACGTGTAGTTGGAGGCATCTGTTAGAGGCGTCTGTCGTTAATATAAAGGTTTTTGAGAAATCAGGGTAATTCAAAATTGGTGGTGCAATTAACTTTGTTCTCAAACTTTCAAAAGATTTATTACAATATTAAGGGGTCTAGCTATTTCAGCAAAATCTTGTATAAACTTTCGATAATAATTGCGCATGAAAATAAATCTTCGAACTTCGTCAGAATTTTTGGGTTTCGAATAATTTCGAATGACTGCATGTTTACTGGGATCAGTACATACACCTTGAGCTGTTATTAAGTGTCCGCGATATACAACTTCTTGTTGTAAGAAATTACATTTTTCGAGGTTTTATTTGAGACTATTTTCTTATTGTCTACTAAATACTTTAATTAAATGTTCATTGTGGTTTTTCACATTTGAGCCAAAGAATATTATATCATCTAAACCGGTTAATGCTAATGTTAGCATATGCGTTTCGGAATTGAATCTTGTGTCTTTATCAGGTTTAACAAAATCGGCGGAACCTGTAATATAACTAATTTTCTTTAATATCACTAACAAATTATTTATATATATACAAAGTCATCTCCGTAATTAGGAATTTATAGTAAAGAGAGGAAAGGGGAGGTACTTTTAGGTGAAATGCTGTATCGATTTTTCACCATTCAATTATATCATAATACATTAGTAATGATTAGATATAAGTATATATATGATTAAGGATTATAAAAGAGCAATAGCAGGACCTCAAGTCCCCTTTCTCGCATATAAATTCGTCTTTTATTATTCCTATATTAGTACTAATAGAATGCACAACTGTAATCTCGTTGAGAGATAAAAAACTATATTCTTATATATAAAATCAAGTAGTTTAATATAGATATAGCCACCAATTGATTCACATAAAAACATTTATTTGCAAAATGTTTGGAATATTTATGGTCTTTCAACTATAACTATATGTAACTATAACTATATATAATATATATAATTATGTATAGGTACTCTTACTGAGGTAAGAGTACCTATACCTATAGATGTTGTATAATTTGTACAATTACAGCAAATATCTAAATTTTATTTAAAGGTTCGATTTGATTTCGAAATAGTGGATATATATATAATTATGATTTTTATTTGCACAATTTTTGTGAATAAATGCTCTATATTTTTGTGTGAAGAGTATTTAATCTTCGTCTAAGCCAAACTTTACTATTTTTTTGTGTTTTTATATTTAGTTTTATTTTTGTATTTTAAGAGTTTACGCTTTTTACGTTTTTTCATAAAGTCTTTCTATTAAAAAGCATTATCTGGAAAGCTGAAACCTATTTGGTCATAAAGCACTAAACATTCATCTAATAATACTTTTCACTTTTTATTAATTTTTTTAATAGAAGTTTTTTCGCTTTTTTTGTTTGGACAGATTTGAGTAAAGAAATAGATTCTTAAAACCAGATCTACTAGTAATAAAACAATCGTGAACAAACAGATTTGTGTAGATTTTGCTTACATGTCCCACTTCCCTTCGCCTCTTTAATCTTAAAGGTACTACCTTTATAAATATTGTACTCACTTTTAGTCAGTAACACCTACTGATTAAAGAAATATTTCTACCTAAATATGCTTGGATTTGATTTTACTTCAGTCAAAAATCAATCACTTAGAACCAATTTTTTAACAGAAATCAATTTTATTCATTAATAAAGACTGCTTTTAATCTTAAAAACTGCGTCTCTGTAAAATATGGTTATATTTCTTGTAGCATGCTTCTGAGATTGGCACGTAGGTGATAGTCACCAGATATCAAATTTGTAGAATAATATCAATATGCAATCAGTTCAGAGTGTGAATCATATGATCCGATCACAGTAGTTAACGACTTTCAACACAGTGCATTGTTTCAATGAAAGATCACTTCTTTCTTCACCACATGAGATCAACTTTTTCGCGATTTTTCCTTTCAATCTTACCAGTAACCTAACATAATATAATATTCGCATTGAAAAGGAAGTTCATAAATACTTTACTGTACGAATCTGTTATAATGAAGGCCTTTTTTCTTTCAGCCGAAATTTACGCTTAGACAGATTTAGAACACGTTTAGCAACATCTCTGCTCCCAATTGACTATCGGTTTCATTTTTACATTCCGATAAACAATTTCTTGTCTATTATATTTAAAGTCAAGGATTGAAATGATCAAAATGTTATTAACAAAAGCACCAACTGTTTCGAGCACATCTTTTTTAAATGTTCGTATTAAATAATGACTACATTATCTTTGGATATCCGAGATAGGGAATCAGTATCTGCACCTTTTGGTCATTTAGTGATATTTTCTAGACTTTTTTGAAGAATTTGGGCATTCAGAGTGTTTAAAGTCTCTTTTTTTAAGTTGTTTTTTAAAAT